AAACAATCATAGCATTACAAGACATTTTAACTTTTTTTTAATATATTGTTTTTACTATGTATATAGACATAGCATATATCTAAGTGTATAGCAGAAGCTATGTGTACCTAGAAAAGCCAAAACATCTTATAATTCGGAACGAAAGAGAGTTGGTGTTTCGAGTTACCACCGATAAGTAAATTTCTAATATTGCGCATCTAACTTGGTTGGTGTGCTTAGAGGACACGGAGTTTATACTGGTTCGGACATAATGTCCATACGTCCAGTTCGTTACTGCTGCTCGTGTTACTAGCACTGAAAGTTCGTAGTAGGGGTTACAAACGGACGAGAGAGGGACATATCCCAAATCTCTGGTGAAAGAAATAAACGGGTGCTAAGAGAGCTCGATTGCTACTCGATCGTGTGTTCGAGGTTCGATGGGTTTGTGATGGTTCGATCGGATTTAGCCTGAATCGATGTGATGTGTTGCGATCCCCCTTATAGGACGTCATGCTTTCCCTTTTATAGGCTAAGGGAAAGCATGTGTTACGGCGGAGGAAAAAGAAGAACGAGAGAGAGAGAGAGAGAGAGCCGAAGGCCTTTAGGATCGCTTAGGTCCTTCTTCTCCTTCATGCGGGTCTCGCCGCCCTTGTAGATGTCAACAGGGACGGCTTCGCGTCGCGGTCCTGTCCGTCACTAGCGCCATGCGCAGACGTCATATGCTGGTCATGGCGCTCCACTCCGTCCTGGCGAACGTCGTGGTGAACTTGACGCTCACGTTAGTGTTCGTACGGGGGTTAGGCAGAACAGCACCGGTACGTCCGACGCTGTTCTTGATGTGAATCCTCCGGTATGGTCCATCAATGCCACGGGTTACATCGGGACGTGTCGGCCTCTTTCCTGATGTCAGAGCTTTGACTTAGGCCCATACGCTTGGACCTGGAGTGGTTGTATTGGTCTCCGTCGGGAGAGGCGGAGCCCGCGGCCTCGGGGTCGGACGGGGCGGAGTACTCCCCCATAGGGCGAGCGAGGTGGAGCGCAAACCCGAGGGTCGGACGAGGAGGAGCCCGCGGCCTCGGGGTCACGAGGCGGAGCACAGACCCAAGGGTCGGGCGAGGCGGAGCCCGCGGCCTCGGGATCAGGCGAGGCGGAGTCCTCCCCCAGAGGCCGGACGAGGCGAAGCGCAGACCCAAGGGTCGGGCGAGGTGGAGCGCAGACCCAGAGGCCGGAAGAAGCAGAGCTTGCGCGCCGGGGGGTCGGTTGGAGTTGTAGTCACGCTCTTAACTGCTCAAATGAGTCAATGTTGATGGTCATTAGCTTCTCCTCTTCGGGTACCCAAGTACTCTTCGGATACCCTAGTATTGATCCCCAACAAGAGCACTTGCTAAACTTTTGTTATCAACGACGTACATATAGAAGAGAGAGAGAGTGCACAACAAATTACAATGGGTTGACCTCGATTAATAACATTTACCCAGTTTGCTGATGCTGAAATTTGACTTATACTGATGCTTATGCTGAAATGTTGTGAGAGAAATTCGGAATAAGCTCGCGAACAGAGCAATTGATTCTTACGACAAAGCAGCTCATGAGTACTCGATCTTGGAAGAGCGAACAACTATATTTTCTTTTCGAAGCAAACAGCGAACAAATATGAGATGGATATATGATCAACGATTCAGTAGAGCTGATCATATCCACTCTCTACACGTGGGACTGAGGTCTAGTTGGCATCGTCGGTTTTTTAAGTGACAAGCGAAAGAGAGTAGCAGCAGCTATCGATCGAGCTAGGCTAATCGTCCATGTCGGAATGAACAATCAGCTAGCCACTTTTATTCGTCTACTGTGGACGTATACGTACTCGCAAGTAGCTGAGCTGAGCTAGTTGCTCTTACTGATCCATGGCGTGCACTTGGGACCGGGATAACCGTGGAAGACGTCGAGGCAACGGTAGCGCGGAGGGTCCGAGTCCGTCTCCTCCACAAGCTCGCACTCTTTGCAGTTGCTCGGGCACGACTCCACCTTGTCGGCGCACCGGCAGTAGGGGATGTAGTCCCTCGTGCAGGCGGCGAGGTCGCAACAGTCCCACGGCCTCGGCGTGCAGACCGGGGGCTCGAGCAGGCTGAAGATCCAGTCACGGCAGACGAAGCCGGCGCCGGCGCCGGCCGCCGACGCCTCGCACTGCTGGCAGTCGGCGGAGCACTTGTCCACCACGTCGTTGCAGCGCCACCTCGGCGGCCTGAACGTCGGGTCCTGGGTAACCCAGTCGCAGCACTCCCACGGTTGACCAGCAGCAGCGCTGCTGGGGAGACGAATCGCGTCGGTGTCGGTGTGGCTGGGTCTGGCGGCGGCGGCGGTGGCGGTGGCCCCAAAGCAGACAGCGACGACAAGAAGAGCGACGACGAGCATCGCCGGGATGACGACGGGGCCGGTGCCCATGCCGCTGCTCTGCTTCGTCTTTCTGCAAGTCCGATGAAGTTGAGTGCTGGCTTGGCCGGTACACGGTGTCGGCGTGCCGCGCCTGCCTTGTTGGTTGTTGGTGATGACGATTATTCGCAAGCGAGCGAAATATAGACCCATCCAGCCAATCACAATGCGACGTGTGTGGCCTTGTGGATATGCATGAATGAACGGGCTGCATGTGTGGTCGACCTTTAATAATTTTCTTATCCTCTGAGACAGTTGCATGTGTGGTCACTGGCCAGATGCATGCACTGCACGAGCGGAAATAATACCACGCGCATGTGTCAGTGTCACGCCTCATCTGATCGAGACAAAATACTGGGGTAGCATAGTACAAGTAGCTATCTATACAGTTTTTGCACGTTTATGACATGCATGTGGTACGTCGGACGTGGATGCAGAAAAGGTTGCACTAGTGTCTCCATCCACCGTTCGTTCCCATCCAACGGCTAAGCGCTCGTTCACCAATTTCTTCTCTTTGCTCATTTGCTAAGAGCCTTGCTTCGATATGGTCAGGGTGCTTGGTAGGCAGCACATCACTAACACTAGCACGCCGGGGCTGCGTTTAATTAGTGGGTTACGGATCTAGATTCTCTTAAGGAACATTTTAGATGACAAATTAGAATTACTTTTGCTTGTTTGTTTGGCTAGATTTTCATATACAAAAGATCATAAAAAAACATATATAAACATATTCATCAGAATTACTTCATGAGGTCGCTCCATTGTTAGGCTAAATTCTAATATACAAAAAATAATTATAAAATCATATAAAAATATTCTTCAGAAAAATCTAGAACTTTTTTGTGGGCGTAGAATCACTTACATACAGTACATTTTAACTTATTTTACTTAAAAAAGATTAACTAGGAAAAATACGCTACCATTTCAGTCCTCTACGAAGAAAATCCTAGAATCGCTATAAATGTTTCAGCCGAATCGCTAGGCTGTTTCAGGTGATTCTCAAGATAAACAGATTTGATTCTCTCATGCAAACGAAGCTCTGTTTGGGTGAGAGAATCGGATCTTCTTCTTCAAGAGCATGTCGTCAAATATCCTTTCTCTTTTCCCTTAAAAGATTCTATAAGGGATCTAGAAGACATAATTTCATATTACGGGGAAGTGAGTGCGAGTAGGACCACCCTTCAATCTGTCCAACTCTCTTTTCTCTTCCTTCTCGCTTGTACGGAGCTTCGTGGCCGACTCATGCCCTTGCCGCACGGGGATAGCCGAACACGGCCTCACCCTTGGCAACCATCTACCAGCATCGTAGTTCATAAATGCTAGGATTCAACGGTGGTTGTGCGAGGAGAGAGAAAAAAAGGGGTTGAGAATCAAAAAATATTTAGGCCTTCCTCTTTCTCTGACCGGTTGAAAAGAGTCCGGAGAGATTGAGAAAAATTATAGAGAAAAAGAACTTAGAAAGGGGATATATTGATGTTTGTTTTTTCTACCATATTCTTTTTGTCACTGATTATAGGAAAAGGGGATTTTTACTTTTGGGCTCCAACAATACCAGCCATTTTGGCTCTGGCGTCTGCGTGGCGTCATTTTCGCTCAAGAATCTCTACCACTAATAATGCATCGGTTGTGAACTTTTTCTAAAGCCACACCAAAAACTGTCCACCGCAGTCATAAACTATTCTTACTTGATTTTTTTTTGTTAATAGTGTTTTGATTTGCGCGGGTAGCTATAGCTTTTTCCGGTTGCTTACCTGAAAATACTTTTTTTGTCGATACTTTTGTTTCTTTGTTTGATTGTATCATTTCTATCTCCATGCTAGTTACATCTATCGACACAAACTTTGGGCATGTGTTTGAGACCACGGTGTTGTGGCCATGCGGTGCGGTGCCACGACCACGGCCTCTAGTCCGCATCCCAGAAACGCGAGTGGTAGTTCATTCTCGCGGAGTATGTACCTCGTGCGGTGAAAAGAATCATAGCATTATAAGACGTTTTAACTTTTTTAGATACATTGTTTTTACCGTGTATATAGACATATCATATATCTAAGTGTATAGTGGAAGCTATGTATATCTAGAAAAACCAAAACGTCTTATAATTTGGAACGAAAGAGAGTACTTGCTAAACTTTTGTTGTCAACAGCTTATATATAGAAGAGGGAGAGAGAGTGCGCAACAAATCACAATGGGTTTACCTCGAGTAACCATGTTCACTGATGCTTAAATTTGGCTTATACTGATGCTTATGCTGAAATGTTGTGAGAGAAAAATCTCATTACATAGCTGAAAAGTAGTTCGAATAAGCTCGAGCGAACAGGGCAAATTTGATTCTTACGACAAAGCAGCTGATGAGTACTCGATCTTGGAAGAGCGAGCAACTATATTTTCTTCTCGAAGCAAACAGCGAACAAATATGAGATGGATATATGATCAACGATTCAGTAGAGCTGATCATATCCACACTCTCTACACATGGGACCGAGGTCTAGTTGGCTTCGTCGGTTGTTTAAGTGACAAGCGAAAGAGAGTAGCAGCAGCTATCGATCGAGCTAGGCTAATCGTCCATGTCGGAATGAACAATCAGCTAGCCACTTTTATTCGTCTGTGGACGTATACGTACTCGCAAGTAGCTGAGCTGAGCTAGTTGCTCTTACTGATCCATGGCGTGCACTTGGGACCGGGATAACCGTGGAAGACGTCGAGGCAACGGTAGCGCGGAGGGTCCGAGTCCGTCTCCTCCACGACCTCGCACTCTTTGCAGTTGCTCGGGCACGACTCCACCTTGTCGGCGCACCGGCAGTAGGGGATGTAGTCCCTCGTGCAGGCGGCGAGGTCGCAACAGTCCCACGGCCTCGGCGTGCAGACCGGGGGCTCGAGCAGGCTGAAGATCCAGTCACGGCAGACGAAGCCGGCGCCGGCGCCGGCCGCCGACGCCTCGCACTGCTGGCAGTCGGCGGAGCACTTGTCCACCACGTCGTTGCAGCGCCACCTCGGCGGCCTGAACGTCGGGTCCTGGGTAACCCAGTCGCAGCACTCCACGGTTGACCAGCAGCAGCGCTGCTGGGGAGACGAATCGCGTCGGTGTCGGTGTGGCTGGGTCTGGCGGCGGCGGCGGTGGCGGTGGCCCCAAAGCAGACAGCGACGACAAGAAGAGCGACGACGAGCATCGCCGGATGACGACGGGGCCGGTGCCCATGCCGCTGCTCTGCTTCGTCTTTCTGCAAGTCCGATGAAGTTGAGTGCTGGCTTGGCCGGTACACGGTGTCGGCGTGCCGCGCCTGCCTTGTTGGTTGTTGGTGATGACGATTATTCGCAAGCGAGCGAAATATAGACCCATCCAGCCAATCACAATGCGACGTGTGTGGCCTTGTGGATATGCATGAATGAACGGGCTGCATGTGTGGTCGACCTTTAATAATTTTCTTATCCTCTGAGACAGTTGCATGTGTGGTCACTGGCCAGATGCATGCACTGCACGAGCGGAAATAATACCACGCGCATGTGTCAGTGTCACGCCTCATCTGATCGAGACAAAATACTGGGGTAGCATAGTACAAGTAGCTATCTATACAGTTTTTGCACGTTTATGACATGCATGTGGTACGTCGGACGTGGATGCAGAAAAGGTTGCACTAGTGTCTCCATCCACCGTTCGTTCCCATCCAACGGCTAAGCGCTCGTTCACCAATTTCTTCTCTTTGCTCATTTGCTAAGAGCCTTGCTTCGATATGGTCAGGGTGCTTGGTAGGCAGCACATCACTAACACTAGCACGCCGGGCTGCGTTTAATTAGTGGGTTACGGATCTAGATTCTCTTAAGGAACATTTTAGATGACAAATTAGAATTACTTTTGCTTGTTTGTTTGGCTAGATTTTCATATACAAAAGATCATAAAAAACATATATAAACATATTCATCAGAATTACTTCATGAGGTCGCCCTCATTGTTAGGCTAAATTCTAATATACAAAAAATAATTATAAAATCATATAAAAATATTCTTCTGAAAAATCTAGAACTTTTTTGTGGGCGTAGAATCACTTACATACAGTACATTTTAACTTATTTTACTTAAAAAAGATTAACTAGGAAAAATACGCTACCATTTCAGTCCTCTACGAAGAAAATCCTAGAATCGCTATAAATGTTTCAGCCGAATCGCTAGGCTGTTTCAGGTGATTCTCAAGATAAATAGATTTGATTCTCTCATGCAAACGAAGCTCTGTTTGGGTGAGAGAATCGGATCTTCTTCTTCAAGAGCATGTCGTCAAATATCCTTTCTCTTTTCCCTTAAAAGATTCTATAAGGGATCTAGAAGACATAATTTCATATTACGGGGAAGTGAGTGCGAGTAGGACCACCCTTCAATCTGTCCAACTCTCTTTTCTCTTCCTTCTCGCTTGTACGGAGCTTCGTGGCCGACTCATGCCCTTGCCGCACGGGGATAGCCGAACACGGCCTCACCCTTGGCAACCATCTACCAGCATCGTAGTTCATAAATGCTAGGATTCAACGGTGGTTGTGCGAGGAGAGAGAAAAAAAGGGGTTGAGAATCAAAAAATATTTAGGCCTTCCTCTTTCTCTGACCGGTTGAAAAGAGTCCGGAGAGATTGAGAAAAATTATAGAGAAAAAGAACTTAGAAAGGGGATATATTGATGTTTGTTTTTTCTACCATATTCTTTTTGTCACTGATTATAGGAAAAGGGGATTTTTACTTTTGGGCTCCAACAATACCAGCCATTTTGGCTCTGGCGTCTGCGTGGCGTCATTTTCGCTCAAGAATCTCTACCACTAATAATGCATCGGTTGTGAACTTTTTCTAAAGCCACACCAAAAACTGTCCACCGCAGTCATAAACTATTCTTACTTGATTTTTTTTTTGTTAATAGTGTTTTGATTTGCGCGGGTAGCTATAGCTTTTTCCCGTTGCTTACCTGAAAATACTTTTTTTGTCGATACTTTTGTTTCTTTGTTTGATTGTATCATTTCTGTCTCCATGCTAGTTACATCTATCGACACAAACTTTGGGCATGTGTTTGAGACCACGGTGTTGTGGCCATGCGGTGCGGTGCCACGACCATGGCCTCTAGTCCGCATCACAGAAACGCGAGTGGTAGTTCATTCTCGCGGAGTATGTACCTCGTGCGGTGAAAAGAATCATAGCATTATAAGACGTTTTAACTTTTTTTAGATACATTGTTTTTACCGTGTATATAGACATATCATATATCTAAGTGTATAGTGGAAGCTATGTATATCTAGAAAAACCAAAACGTCTTATAATTTGGAACGAAAGAGAGTACTTGCTAAACTTTTGTTGTCAACAGCTTATATATAGAAGAGGGAGAGAGAGTGCGCAACAAATCACAATGGGTTTACCTCGAGTAACCATGTTCACTGATGCTTAAATTTGGCTTATACTGATGTTTATGCTGAAATGTTGTGAGAGAAAAATACTGTTACATAGCTGAAAAGTAGTTCGGAATAAGCTCGAGCGAACAGGGCAAATTTGATTCTTACGACAAAGCAGCTGATGAGTACTCGATCTTGGAAGAGCGAGCAACTATATTTTCTTCTCGAAGCAAACAGCGAACAAATATGAGATGGATATATGATCAACGATTCAGTAGAGCTGATCATATCCACACTCTCTACACATGGGACCGAGGTCTAGTTGGCTTCGTCGGTTGTTTAAGTGACAAGCGAAAGAGAGTAGCAGCAGCTATCGATCGAGCTAGGCTAATCGTCCATGTCGGAATGAACAATCAGCTAGCCACTTTTATTCGTCTGTGGACGTATACGTACTCGCAAGTAGCTGAGCTGAGCTAGTTGCTCTTACTGATCCATGGCGTGCACTTGGGACCGGGATAACCGTGGAAGACGTCGAGGCAACGGTAGCGCGGAGGGTCCGAGTCCGTCTCCTCCACGACCTCGCACTCTTTGCAGTTGCTCGGGCACGACTCCACCTTGTCGGCGCACCGGCAGTAGGGGATGTAGTCCCTCGTGCAGGCGGCGAGGTCGCAACAGTCCCACGGCCTCGGCGTGCAGACCGGGGGCTCGAGCAGGCTGAAGATCCAGTCACGGCAGACGAAGCCGGCGCCGGCGCCGGCCGCCGACGCCTCGCACTGCTGGCAGTCGGCGGAGCACTTGTCCACCACGTCGTTGCAGCGCCACCTCGGCGGCCTGATCGGCGTCGGGTCCTGGGTAACCCAGTCGCAGCACTCCCACGGTTGACCAGCAGCAGCGCTGCTGGGGAGACGAATCGCGTCGGTGTCGGTGTGGCTGGGTCTGGCGGCGGCGGCGGTGGCGGTGGCCCCAAAGCAGACAGCGACGACAAGAAGAGCGACGACGAGCATCGCCGGGATGACGACGGGGCCGGTGCCCATGCCGCTGCTCTGCTTCGTCTTTCTGCAAGTCCGATGAAGTTGAGTGCTAGCTTGGCCGGTACACGGTGTCGGCGTGCCGCGCCTGCCTTGTTGGTTGTTGGTGATGACGATTATTCGCAGGCGAGCGAAATATAGACCCATCCAGCCAATCACAATGCGACGTGTGTGGCCTTGTGGATATGCATGAATGAACGGGCTGCATGTGTGGTCGACCTTTAATAATTTTCTTATCCTCTGAGACAGTTGCATGTGTGGTCACTGGCCAGATGCATGCACTGCACGAGCGGAAATAATACCACGCGCATGTGTCAGTGTCACGCCTCATCTGATCGAGACAAAATACTGGGGTAGCATAGTACAAGTAGCTATCTATACAGTTTTTGCACGTTTATGACATGCATGTGGTACGTCGGACGTGGATGCAGAAAAGGTTGCACTAGTGTCTCCATCCACCGTTCGTTCCCATCCAACGGCTAAGCGCTCGTTCACCAATTTCTTCTCTTTGCTCATTTGCTAAGAGCCTTGCTTCGATATGGTCAGGGTGCTTGGTAGGCAGCACATCACTAACACTAGCACGCCGGGGCTGCGTTTAATTAGTGGGTTACGGATCTAGATTCTCTTAAGGAACATTTTTAGATGACAAATTAGAATTACTTTTGCTTGTTTGTTTGGCTAGATTTTCATATACAAAAGATCATAAAAAAACATATATAAACATATTCATCAGAATTACTTCATGAGGTCGCTCCATTGTTAGGCTAAATTCTAATATACAAAAAATAATTATAAAATCATATAAAAATATTCTTCAGAAAAATCTAGAACTTTTTTGTGGGCGTAGAATCACTTACATACAGTACATTTTAACTTATTTTACTTAAAAAGGATTAACTAGGAAAAATACGCTACCATTTCAGTCCTCTACGAAGAAAATCCTAGAATCGCTATAAATGTTTCAGCCGAATCGCTAGGCTGTTTCAGGTGATTCTCAAGATAAACAGATTTGATTCTCTCATGCAAACGAAGCTCTGTTTGGGTGAGAGAATCGGATCTTCTTCTTCAAGAGCATGTCGTCAAATATCCTTTCTCTTTTCCCTTAAAAGATTCTATAAGGGATCTAGAAGACATAATTTCATATTACGGGGAAGTGAGTGCGAGTAGGACCACCCTTCAATCTGTCCAACTCTCTTTTCTCTTCCTTCTCGCTTGTACGGAGCTTCGTGGCCGACTCATGCCCTTGCCGCACGGGGACAGCCGAACACGGCCTCACCCTTGGCAACCATCTACCAGCATCGTAGTTCATAAATGCTAGGATTCAACGGTGGTTGTGCGAGGAGAGAGAAAAAAAGGGGTTGAGAATCAAAAAATATTTAGGCCTTCCTCTTTCTCTGACCGGTTGAAAAGAGTCCGGAGAGATTGAGAAAAATTATAGAGAAAAAAGAACTTAGAAAGGGGATATATTGATGTTTGTTTTTTCTACCATATTCTTTTTGTCACTGATTATAGGAAAAGGGGATTTTTACTTTTGGGCTCCAACAATACCAGCCATTTTGGCTCTGGCGTCTGCGTGGTGTCATTTTCGCTCAAGAATCTCTACCACTAATAATGCATCGGTTGTGAACTTTTTCTAAAGCCACACCAAAAACTGTCCACCGCAGTCATAAACTATTCTTACTTGATTTTTTTTTGGTTAATAGTGTTTTGATTTGCGCGGGTAGCTATAGCTTTTTCCCGTTGCTTACCTGAAAATACTTTTTTTGTCGATACTTTTGTTTATTTGTTTGATTGTATCATTTCTGTCTCCATGCTAGTTACATCTATCGACACAAACTTTGGGCATGTGTTTGAGACCACGGTGTTGTGGCCATGCGGTGCGGTGCCACGACCACGGCCTCTAGTCCGCATCACAGAAACGCGAGTGGTAGTTCATTCTCGCGGAGTATGTACCTCGTGCGGTGAAAAGAATCATAGCATTATAAGACGTTTTAACTTTTTTTTAGATACATTGTTTTTACCGTGTATATAGACATATCATATATCTAAGTGTATAGTAGAAGCTATGTATATCTAGAAAAACCAAAACGTCTTATAATTTGGAACGAAAGAGAGTACTTGCTAAACTTTTGTTGTCAACAGCTTATATATAGAAGAGGGAGAGAGAGTGCGCAACAAATCACAATGGGTTTACCTCGAGTAACCATGTTCACTGATGCTTAAATTTGGCTTATACTGATGTTTATCTTTGAAATGTTGTGAGAAAAATATTTGTTACATAGCTGAAAAAGTAGTTCGGAATAAGCTCGAGCGAACAGGGGCAAATTTGATTCTTACGACAAAGCAGCTGATGAGTACTCGATCTTGGAAGAGCGAGCAACTATATTTTCTTCTCGAAGCAAACAGCGAACAAATATGAGATGGATATATGATCAACGATTCAGTAGAGCTGATCATATCCACACTCTCTACACATGGGACCGAGGTCTAGTTGGCTTCGTCGGTTGTTTAAGTGACAAGCGAAAGAGAGTAGCAGCAGCTATCGATCGAGCTAGGCTAATCGTCCATGTCGGAATGAACAATCAGCTAGCCACTTTTATTCGTCTGTGGACGTATACGTACTCGCAAGTAGCTGAGCTGAGCTAGTTGCTCTTACTGATCCATGGCGTGCACTTGGGACCGGGATAACCGTGGAAGACGTCGAGGCAACGGTAGCGCGGAGGGTCCGAGTCCGTCTCCTCCACGACCTCGCACTCTTTGCAGTTGCTCGGGCACGACTCCACCTTGTCGGCGCACCGGCAGTAGGGGATGTAGTCCCTCGTGCAGGCGGCGAGGTCGCAACAGTCCCACGGCCTCGGCGTGCAGACCGGGGGCTCGAGCAGGCTGAAGATCCAGTCACGGCAGACGAAGCCGGCGCCGGCGCCGGCCGCCGACGCCTCGCACTGCTGGCAGTCGGCGGAGCACTTGTCCACCACGTCGTTGCAGCGCCACCTCGGCGGCCTGAACGTCGGGTCCTGGGTAACCCAGTCGCAGCACTCCCACGGTTGACCAGCAGCAGCGCTGCTGGGGAGACGAATCGCGTCGGTGTCGGTGTGGCTGGGTCTGGCGGCGGCGGCGGTGGCGGTGGCCCCAAAGCAGACAGCGACGACAAGAAGAGCGACGACGAGCATCGCCGGGATGACGACGGGGCCGGTGCCCATGCCGCTGCTCTGCTTCGTCTTTCTGCAAGTCCGATGAAGTTGAGTGCTAGCTTGGCCGGTACACGGTGTCGGCGTGCCGCGCCTGCCTTGTTGGTTGTTGGTGATGACGATTATTCGCAAGCGAGCGAAATATAGACCCATCCAGCCAATCACAATGCGACGTGTGTGGCCTTGTGGATATGCATGAATGAACGGGCTGCATGTGTGGTCGACCTTTAATAATTTTCTTATCCTCTGAGACAGTTGCATGTGTGGTCACTGGCCAGATGCATGCACTGCACGAGCGGAAATAATACCACGCGCATGTGTCAGTGTCACGCCTCATCTGATCGAGACAAAATACTGGGGTAGCATAGTACAAGTAGCTATCTATACAGTTTTTGCACGTTTATGACATGCATGTGGTACGTCGGACGTGGATGCAGAAAAGGTTGCACTAGTGTCTCCATCCACCGTTCGTTCCCATCCAACGGCTAAGCGCTCGTTCACCAATTTCTTCTCTTTGCTCATTTGCTAAGAGCCTTGCTTCGATATGGTCAGGGTGCTTGGTAGGCAGCACATCACTAACACTAGCACGCCGGGGCTGCGTTTAATTAGTGGGTTACGGATCTAGATTCTCTTAAGGAACATTTTAGATGATAAATTAGAATTACTTTTGCTTGTTTGTTTGGCTAGATTTTAATACACAAAAGATCATAAAAAACATATATAAACATATTCATCAGAATTACTTCATGAGGTCGCTCGATTGTTAGGCTAAATTCTAATATACAAAAAATAATTATAAAACCATATAAAAATATTCTTCAGAAAAATGTAGAACTTTTTTGTGGGCGTAGAATCACTTACATACAGTACATTTTAACTTATTTTACTTAAAAAAGATTAACTAGGAAAAATACGCTACCATTTCAGTCCTCTACGAAGAAAATCCTAGAATCGCTATAAATGTTTCAGCCGAATCGCTAGGCTGTTTCAGGTGATTCTCAAGATAAACAGATTTGATTCTCTCATGCAAACGAAGCTCTGTTTGGGTGAGAGAATCGGATCTTCTTCTTCAAGAGCATGTCGTCAAATATCCTTTCTCTTTTCCCTTAAAAGATTCTATAAGGGATCTAGAAGACATAATTTCATATTACGGGGAAGTGAGTGCGAGTAGGACCACCCTTCAATCTGTCCAACTCTCTTTTCTCTTCCTTCTCGCTTGTACGGAGCTTCGTGGCCGACTCATGCCCTTGCCGCACGGGGACAGCCGAACACGGCCTCACCCTTGGCAACCATCTACCAGCATCGTAGTTCATAAATGCTAGGATTCAACGGTGGTTGTGCGAGGAGAGAGAAAAAAAGGGGTTGAGAATCAAAAAATATTTAGGCCTTCCTCTTTCTCTGACCGGTTGAAAAGAGTCCGGAGAGATTGAGAAAAATTATAGAGAAAAAGAACTTAGAAAGGGGATATATTGATGTTTGTTTTTTCTACCATATTCTTTTTGTCACTGATTATAGGAAAAGGGGATTTTTACTTTTGGGCTCCAACAATACCAGCCATTTTGGCTCTGGCGTCTGCGTGGCGTCATTTTCGCTCAAGAATCTCTACCACTAATAATGCATCGGTTGTGAACTTTTTCTAAAGCCACACCAAAAACTGTCCACCGCAGTCATAAACTATTCTTACTTGATTTTTTTTTGTTAATAGTGTTTTGATTTGCGCGGGTAGCTATAGCTTTTTCCCGTTGCTTACCTGAAAATACTTTTTTTGTCGATACTTTTGTTTATTTGTTTGATTGTATCATTTCTGTCTCCATGCTAGTTACATCTATCGACACAAACTTTGGGCATGTGTTTGAGACCACGGTGTTGTGGCCATGCGGTGCGGTGCCACGACCACGGCCTCTAGTCCGCATCACAGAAACGCGAGTGGTAGTTCATTCTCGCGGAGTATGTACCTCGTGCGGTGAAAAGAATCATAGCATTATAAGACGTTTTAACTTTTTTTTAGATACATTGTTTTTACCGTGTATATAGACATATCATATATCTAAGTGTATAGTAGAAGCTATGTATATCTAGAAAAACCAAAACGTCTTATAATTTGGAACGAAAGAGAGTACTTGCTAAACTTTTGTTGTCAACAGCTTATATATAGAAGAGGGAGAGAGAGTGCGCAACAAATCACAATGGGTTTACCTCGAGTAACCATGTTCACTGATGCTTAAATTTGGCTTATACTGATGCTTATGCTGAAATGTTGTGAGATAAAAATACTGTTCCATAGCTGAAAAGTAGTTCGGAATAAGCTCGAGCGAACAGGGCAAATTTGATTCTTACGACAAAGCAGCTGATGAGTACTCGATCTTGGAAGAGCGAGCAACTATATTTTCTTCTCGAAGCAAACAGCGAACAAATATGAGATGGATATATGATCAACGATTCAGTAGAGCTGATCATATCCACACTCTCTACACATGGGACCGAGGTCTAGTTGGCTTCGTCGGTTATTTAAGTGACAAGCGAAAGAGAGTAGCAGCAGCTATCGATCGAGCTAGGCTAATCGTCCATGTCGGAATGAACAATCAGCTAGCCACTTTTATTCGTCTGTGGACGTATACGTACTCGCAAGTAGCTGAGCTGAGCTAGTTGCTCTTACTGATCCATGGCGTGCACTTGGGACCGGGATAACCGTGGAAGACGTCGAGGCAACGGTAGCGCGGAGGGTCCGAGTCCGTCTCCTCCACGACCTCGCACTCTTTGCAGTTGCTCGGGCACGACTCCACCTTGTCGGCGCACCGGCAGTAGGGGATGTAGTCCCTCGTGCAGGCGGCGAGGTCGCAACAGTCCCACGGCCTCGGCGTGCAGACCGGGGGCTCGAGCAGGCTGAAGATCCAGTCACGGCAGACGAAGCCGGCGCCGGCGCCGGCCGCCGACGCCTCGCACTGCTGGCAGTCGGCGGAGCACTTGTCCACCACGTCGTTGCAGCGCCACCTCGGCGGCCTGATCGTCGTCGGGTCCTGGGTAACCCAGTCGCAGCACTCCACGGTTGACCAGCAGCAGCGCTGCTGGGGAGACGAATCGCGTCGGTGTCGGTGTGGCTGGGTCTGGCGGCGGCGGCGGTGGCGGTGGCCCCAAAGCAGACAGCGACGACAAGAAGAGCGACGACGAGCATCGCCGGGATGACGACGGGGCCGGTGCCCATGCCGCTGCTCTGCTTCGTCTTTCTGCAAGTCCGATGAAGTTGAGTGCTAGCTTGGCCGGTACACGGTGTCGGCGTGCCGCGCCTGCCTTGTTGGTTGTTGGTGATGACGATTATTCGCAGGCGAGCGAAATATAGACCCATCCAGCCAATCACAATGCGACGTGTGTGGCCTTGTGGATATGCATGAATGAACGGGCTGCATGTGTGGTCGACCTTTAATAATTTTCTTATCCTCTGAGACAGTTGCATGTGTGGTCACTGGCCAGATGCATGCACTGCACGAGCGGAAATAATACCACGCGCATGTGTCAGTGTCACGCCTCATCTGATCGAGACAAAATACTGGGGTAGCATAGTACAAGTAGCTATCTATACAGTTTTTGCACGTTTATGACATGCATGTGGTACGTCGGACGTGGATGCAGAAAAGGTTGCACTAGTGTCTCCATCCACCGTTCGTTCCCATCCAACGGCTAAGCGCTCGTTCACCAATTTCTTCTCTTTGCTCATTTGCTAAGAGCCTTGCTTCGATATGGTCAGGGTGCTTGGTAGGCAGCACATCACTAACACTAGCACGCCGGAGCTGCGTTTAATTAGTGGGTTACGGATCTAGATTCTCTTAAGGAACATTTTAGATGATAAATTAGAATTACTTTTGCTTGTTTGTTTGGCTAGATTTTAATACACAAAAGATCATAAAAAACATATATAAACATATTCATCATAATTACTTCATGAGGTCGCTCCATTGTTAGGCTAAATTCTAATATACAAAAAATAATTATAAAACCATATAAAAATATTCTTCAGAAAAATCTAGAACTTTTTTGTGGGCGTAGAATAACTTAGATACAGTACATTTTAACTTATTTTACTTAAAAAGGATTAACTAGGAAAAATACGCTACCATTTCAGTCCTCTACGAAGAAAATCCTAGAATCGCTATAAATGTTTCAGCCGAATCGCTATAAACGTTTCAGTTGAATCGCTAGGCTGTTTCACATGATTCTCAAGATAAACGGATTTGATTCTCTCATCCAAACGAAGCTCCGTTTGGATAAGAGAATCAGATCTTCTTCTTCAAGATCATGTCGTCAAATATCCTTTCTCTTTTCCCTTAAAAGATTCTATAAGGGATCGAGAAGACATACTCGTTGCCAACCTGCTTATTCGTCTGCCTCATTCTCTGATGGAACAAGACTATTATGTCATAATCTTTGTTACTCCTATCACTTTGTTGACTTGTCTTTGCTTATGAACTGAAATTATGAGTTGTGCTATTTTGTAATTGTTGTTGCAGGGGAAGGGAGGGGCTGAGCCGATTTTGACCGGTAAGCACAGGTTTGAGAAAGGTACATAACAGTTTAAGCTGGATATTGCAACGAGGAGCAGTTGCTTTTTCATTTCCACTTATTTCAGCATTGAACAATTGTGATTTCGGATGCACATCAATTTGTTTTATTTCCACCGAGCAGCTGATCAATGCGGTATGTTATTCCCATCGTTGCTTGATTTCTTAGATATTAAATTTTGTTCTTGTTGGTCCTGAGCAAATAATAAGAGCTGGGATGAAAAATAATAGCTCATATTGGTCACTGACAGGAACCAGAAGAAATATTGCCTTTAATGGGTTAAGTTGCAGATGGTATATCGGTCATCTCATGCTTGCTAACTGCAGAGAAGATTTTGGTACAAAGGTGCTTCGCACACACCTTGTTGAACCTTTGCCACGACAATCACTGACCCCAAGACATGCTTATTTAGGCCTCTATGTATTTTTAATATTTCTAAGTATTGTTGTTGTTTAGTGAAACTTAAACATACCACATCTATGCTTTGTTACCAATGCATATATTATCTTTTGAAAGTTTGATTTATACTACCGAAAGTCACCGTAGCGTTAGCACGGACAATATACTAGTTGTGGTACAAATATATTCTAGTAGGGAGGGTTGTACACTGGCAGAGTTCACTACCTGAATCACCAATTAAGGCTACGATATAATTCCAATCTATTGTTAGCCTCTGCGACTCACATACATAGATTTCACAAAGGGAATGCTGGACTGAGCCAAAAAATGGCATGTCATCTAATCCAATTTTGAAATTAATCTTGCAGCTCCAATGCATCAAAATGCCACGTGAGGCGTCAGTCACACGAAGCTTACAAGGGAGGCATCATGATCCTGATCCACTCCTTGTGACCCTTCGGAACATATCTTTGATGTTCTTGGATCCTACCTCTGTCTTTGGTTTCTTCGCTGGCCTCCCTTTGATTGACTTGGCACCACCATTCGCAGTCTTACTCTGTATGGTCATCTCACAAGAGATTAGAAGTCGTATGGGCACTAAGATAAGCTGAAGTGTTATCAAGGGGCTCACCTCAGAGGGGAGGGCAGGTGCCGGACAACTGTCCGCATAAAACGAAGCTTCACCAATTTTGGTCGTCGCATCAGCAGTAATCTCATTGATATCCAGCCTGCAACGAAATGGATTGTTTGGAGCTTGAGCATAGACAAGCAGAAACACTTTTTATTAAAAAAAAACTAAGAGTGAAGAAGGAAATGGAAATCTTACTGCAGCTTCTTGCATAGTAATGTTAACCATGGTTCGTCCTTCAGATATTCACGGATCATTTGGACAGCCTCCTTCACTGTAGAGGAAACAATAGAAGCAGCCCTATCACGACATTTGTGCGCACACATACATAATCAGGACAAAAATATCGTTGTGCACTATTCTGCTTTGGTTGCTGGCAGTAGCAACAAGTCTCCAAGAAACAATGGCAAAAACAAAGTAGACCAACCTCATGCATAAATACAAAAAGTTCCCTAAAAAATAGAAAAATTACAACAAGGTGTCTATTGTACCTCTTTTCCCTTGAGATATGAAATTATGGTTTATCCTAGCACCAGGCACAAATCCAAATTACCAAGCATTGCTACCTTCAATCAAACAATTCTTCTATAATTCACTGTACGCAAGTACCGGTTGTAGCTTAAGGCATTTTAGCTTATTGTATAAGTAATGCACTGCGACATAAAGAATCAACAGTTTGACTATAGAATTGAGTTGGCACTATTCAACAGTTTGGTTAGATGCACATGTGTCATGTGTGATGATAACAAACCCCCTTTCGAAAATATAAACAGCAAACAAGAATCTACATACTTCCTGCCATATTAAACTACCCAAGTACTATATACTGAATAAATGGAGATTAACACCGGCCATATTAAACAACCAAGTATTATATACTGAATAAAATGAAGATTATCTAGGACACACATTGTTCTTTTTCTGTTTGGGCGGCATAATTTTTACCCAACTTGGGGAAGACCTCCTTTAGGTTGTATACCTGCAAGAGATTCAAAGATATATTGGTAGTCCAGAATAGTGAGACGAAGTCAACTTAACATGATTTAGAATTTGCTAAAGTAAATGAATGCTGTGCACCTCTGTACAACAGAGTTGACTAAAGTACATAATGTATCTTTCAGGATTTACTCCCCCGAAGATCATATTCAGAACAAAGTGAACTTAAAAGAATTCTGTTTCATTCATAATCCACATAACCAAAGAAATCTGACAAAGGGTCCAGAGTCAAATACGATTCAGCACACTAGAAATATTAATGTTGTGTTGAATGGTCACTTATATCCCTCAAAGAAAATGAGGTGCAAAAACAAAACAGGAAAAACATTTTAACTTATCAGAAAAAGTATTTGTGTTATGTAAATCAGTACAGCGTGCATCACCTAGCTGCAGTCTGCAGGTTAAATTAAGTCATTGCTTTTGTACAGTAACAAACAGAAGTAAAAAGTATTGCCTAAGCACAGAGAGTAAACAAAAGTAAGAACAGGAAAACACTACCTTGCAGCACAACCAAGATAAGACCTTGGAGTTATCCAGCCTAAAGAACTTCATGTTAGATACTTCTGCACCAAAGGCAATGTCCATGTGAAATAATTAATTCTGTGAACTATTTGCCACAACAGAAAGAAGTCATTAAAAAAAGAAGGAACACAGGACGGAATGACAATCACAATGTAACTGAAATCATCGATTAATTCAATCAAGAAAATAAAAAGTTGCCAGATCAGATATGAGGCAAGGAAGCTCTAGTGTTTATAATGTGGCAGGAGCTTGACATGGTATATTGCGGTGAAACATCTAAACATATACCTTTTACTTCACAGACCAATTCCATATGGTGGCTAGCTACATTCATTAGCTGCTGATATCCAGGATATCCCTCAACATACAATATTTCATCCAGTTGTCTAAATTTTCCTGGATCCTTCCCGTTCTGCATGAATGGATGTTAGAGTAATAAGGATTAGGTTAAACACAAACCATGTTTTTTTAAAACAAAAACACAAACCATGTAACAGAAAAAGAAAAACTCAACAATTGAGCGTACCGACATACGTGCAGCTTCAAAAGTCAGTAGGAAAATGAAGATGGGATCAACAGGGGTGCAATAATAGAGGCCACCATCTATAAGGGAGAGCATTGAATACTAAAGTGAGGTACTGAAGTAGAATGCAGGTTGATATGTATTCAGAAATGTTTTGTTTCAAGCAGATTATACTACTTAGCACTCAGAATGTAAATGTGCCATAGATGGTACAAAAACTCATGTCATTATCTTATTATATTCCTCTTTTTTTTTAGAAAGAGAGAGCAAAGCTAGTGAGCTTTAAGGAGACGGTTTACAGTGGTAGGGAAGAAAACCGCATAAGTGTGTCATGAAAATGGCTATTCATTGGCTACACATGATAAGAGGCATGATTAACACAAAGTGGGGAAATATAAACATTTCAGTGGTAATGGGAAACTGTATAGCTATTTCACTATCGTACATACCTTCACAAACATAATCCCCCAAGAACCAAGCACCATAACGCTCCTTAAACCAGTTGATCTCTTGAAGTTGACCATCAATAAATAGATACCCTGTTTCATCTCCTGGTTCATGACAAGACAAAGGTCAAGTTCGAGATGTTGACCGACTATTCACAAGTGCCAAGAGGGCAATCACATTCCATAAAATTCATCTCGTATGTGTCTAGATTTCTGGATCAGAAGCTCATACTGGAAAACACTAGGTATGTATGCACACGTTCATTTTTGAAAGCAATGTACGCACAGGTTCATCACTTCACCTGATCTTGGATGTTGAAGTGACAGAACAGTCCCTTGACTGCTGGCATCAGAAGGGCCTGCAGCGCGCAAAGAAATATGAATTGTGGGTCTGATTAAAAACGCGGAGCTCCATTCATACAAAATAATTCTCCAATAACCTGACATCCAGCAGATCCCCCCTCCCTCAAAATCAATCTTCAAACCCAAAGGCAACTTTAGTTTTTAGGACTGCGCAATCTAGCATTCGATTGAAACTCAAGGTAACAAATACATGCTGAGCACGTTCGCGGGGGGGGGGGGTGGAGGAACTCAAGGTAACATAACTCAAAATCCGAAACCGCAAAGCGCAACAGAAACCTAAATGCCACAAATCCGGAACAGTAGAATCAGTTGATGGGCCTGTGCTCTACCCCAACACTCATCCCACAGCCAAAATCCCCAGTTCGGACTAAGCAGTAGGGCACAAACGGGAGGTCGAGGATGTGGGTGGGTGCTCACGGTGGGAAATGAGGACGCGAGGCGGCGCCGCCAAGCTGTCGTGCCACGACGACGACGCCATCGCGGCGGCCGATTTGCCTCCTTCGACTTCGCCGCTGCCGCAGGACATTGGGTCTGCTTCGGCTGGGGGCGGGAGGGAGAGACGGGATGGGGCTGGAGCCGGGAGCGGGAGGGCGCGCGCGCGCGGGAAGTCAGTGGGCGTAGACCTGCAATCGTAGGGTTTTGCCGCCCGCCGGAAGGGCGCAGCGCGATGCGGCTGCTAGTCTGCTACTCGGCTTCACCTTTCGTTTCTTTCTCTGTGAGCTGTTGAATTGTTTGATTGATCATCATCAGCGGAGCAGGTGGTTTCGCGGACGAGGAGCCAAGTTCGGCCTACGTACAGTCCCGCCCGAAATATGAGAGGCCTACGGCTTATACGGGTTTTGGCCCACATAGAGTCCAGCTCATCCGTTTAGATAGTGCTTTGGCTGGGCCCAAGATATGAAATACAGTTCGTTGTGTTGTAATTGTAACAAAAAATAAAATAAAATAAAAATAAGCCTGTCTGCAGCCTAGTAGTACTTTAGTGCTTGGTTGTCAGAATTACGAATTCCAAATGGAGTCGGAGTTCTACACCATAACGAAATTATAACCCTAGCCAAGTTGTAAAATCCCGATACTTTTTTTTAGAATTACACAGTACAACATAGACGGCCAGAACATATACTCACATCTATAAATACACGACATGTATATAAACCCTACTCCTATGAGCACCACATTTGCCAATTGTCATGTGTTTTCTTGTTTGGGAAACGCATGGCAAGGAGCAATGTGCATGCCCTAGTCCCCGTGTGCACATGCACGGAAGTGGCGGGGCACGGAAGATGATGGCCTGAATGGGGCAGATCTTAGGGCTCTCTCAACGACGCAGGCTAATATATACGTAGGCTTCACACAAAAGCTATAGGCCATATAGGTAGGCTCTCAAAACTCTCAACGCGGGCTGCAAGTATTGTGATTCCTAGCCTGACCAGAAACATGCGTCACTTTTATTCGCTTTTGACGTGTGCAGTAACTAGAAGTGGTGAAGCCACAAGGGCACCACCAGCGGGGCAGCACCGGCTGTTAGCCCTAGGCTAAAAGGACCGGTACACGTAGGAAGCTGTGTTCTCTAGCCAATAGACTCCCATCGCAGGCAGCTATCCACTGCTCTACTTTTCCCATCACGTACGTCCAATCCCTTTCCCATCTATCCACTACTCTACTTTTTCGCCAATGGACCACACTGCCAACACATGTCCATACTTTTGACTGACAAAACCACTACTTCTCTGTGCAGGCCACTCTGCGCGCCTGTGAGGCTACTAGCCTGTCGCAGTGGCGGATCTGCCACCGGGGCTGGGGGGCTCAAGCCCCCTACCGTGGCCGTGCTTGTGGAGCCCCCCTCAGCCCCCAAAGAATTTTTGGACAGTGGACTGGCAATGGAGGAAGGAAAGGAAGGGCTGGAGACCTGAAACACCTGAGAGGTCGACGGAGGTTGAAGACGACGCATCGGGTGTTTCTCCATCTCTTTGTTTTCCCCCACCCAAATAGGCCCAGTAAGGCAGTAACGTCAATAGGCCAGGTGGGCCGTGGGCCTTTCTCCTTTCCCTGTTTGCCGTTTTCAATTGTATTTTTTTACTTCTTGTGAAATATGATGCACTTTCAATTGTTTATCAAAGTTATCGTGTTATAAAATGCTTAAAACTGCTATATGTTAGTTATGTATGGGACATAATTGAGTTATAAGTTGGTCTTGCTCTCTTCAGTCCAGCCCCCCTATATATATTTTTCTGGATCCGCCACTGCCTGTTCGACATGGATGTTTGGCGCCAGCGTGGACTCTAGGGCAGTACACCATGTCCTTGCGTTGACGGCGACGGTGCATCCACCGTGCCACGGCATGAGGTCGCCATGCTTTCGTATGTAGCTTATGGGCAAGCTATAGCCGCCTCAAAGCATAAACGCTATAGTTGATGCGGGTGGTGATACCTTGACTTTATGATCTAGGATATATAGGGGCTGATTGGTTGTCCGAACCAGGCCATCCTTGCACCATTTGCCTGCTTCAACCCATTTCTCTGTATCGTGTTTGGTTCCCCACCTCGCACGCTTTGCCTGCTTCGTTTCATTCCGCTGCCCTCTACCATCCCGCACGGCTCCGTCTTCTCAATTTTTACTTCCTTCGCGATGCAGGACGACACGATGCACCCATGGTATAAGGGCTCATATGTCACACACTCAAAACTCTTATCCATGTATGCAACCAAACAAGATCACATCTCGTACTGGACCAACAATAAAGACAACCAAATACGACTATGTGCACAATTTGAACATATATCTCACAATCCTGGACTGCCTCTCTGTCCCAGCTCCCCATCACCAAAGCAACCGATCACGCCCATAGTGATCGAGTTAACGCATCCAGCTGTGCAGGACGACCACACATGCAGCGCGGCCGCCACTTAGGAGCATCAGGATTGGCGCACGCCGGCGTGACCACGACTTGACAAGTTGCATTGACATCCCTAACGCCACCAGGCACCAGCGCTTGTGGTGTGGGCATCGCCTCTCCTTGGTCCTTGCCCTCGTGGGTATAAGCGGTGGATTAAGTGGTGGATTAATGATGACGGACGGCGCAGGGACATTGGATTCCTACGGTGACATGCGTGCGTGCTGTGGCCTGTGGGATCAATCATGCAGTCAAGTGGACCGACCGTGCGTGTCGTCCTCATCCAGAGCATAATAAGCTAGGACGCTAATCACGCTCATTCGTCGGCATATATTATATCTCTCTCAAAAATGTTATAAGCCAGCTGCAATGCAAGCATGATTGGAGTTTTTTTTGGAGGACGTCACTTTGGTCTTTCCGGGAATGGGATGCGATTTGACGTCGGTCGCATCAGCTTGCACGATCGACCAACCGCTAGGAGATCCAGAACATTCCGAGCTAGTATGTTTCTTTTTTTTTAATTATAGAAGTATACTTATTCGTTTCTGTACATCATTTTCTTTTTCGAAAACCTCTTAACCATCCAACTCCTGCATGAACCTAGATAATAAATTACTAAATTATATCAAATCTCACGTCCTTTCAAAAGAGAGAGAAAAAAATCTCGGTAGCTTAGGATTGGTCCTAGATTCTATGTTACCCATTACATGTATTATGCTCCCTAGTCACTAGTCATCTCTTCTTTAGCAAAGGTCCTTAAATATTTGAGCAAGGCCAAAGTAATAGAGCACCGAGATCGACAGGGACGGACGTGCAGTCGTGCTCGTGCACGGTGCACTTGACCTGGGTTTCTGGAGTGCGGCTGCTGGTGGACGTCAACGTTACCAAAATGGGAACTGCAGACGTGGCCATACACTTTACCCTCTGTTAATGGTTCCCTGACAGAGATGGCCGTGTTTCTCGAGACGCTTGAACCTCCTACTTAACAATAAGAATTTAACATCTCGTAATATTATATTTAATATTTTTGCTACTAAAGGAACTCAAATGAAAAAAATCAAACTAAAAAGTTTTAAATTTTGTCAAATAGTACAACTTTAATATAGGATGTGTCTTCATCCGTGATTGGGTTTAAAAATTTTAAAATTTTGAATCTCAAAATATATGACTTTAAAACAAACATTTGAGATATTAAAAAACTTCAATAAAACCTTATCAATAGCAGGTCGCTCACTACAACTTCAGTGTTAACTATATAAACATTTGAGGTCATTTGAAAATTCTAAATTTAAATTTTAAAATCTATAAAACAACTTCAAATCATAAACTTTTCAACTACAATAGATTGTATTAAAACTACAACTTTGATATAGACTATGTCAACAAGCAAGTTTGTTTGAAAAATTAAAATTATAAAATGTATGAATTTACAATAATATTTTGAGACTCTAAGCAGTTTCAAATCAAAACCTTATCTACTATAAGGTTATAGATCTTGTCGAGAGATACAATTTTGATATGAAGTTGAGCTAAAATTCATCTTTGACTCTTATTTGTTTGCAATTTATTCGTCGGGCTGAAGGGCGGGCCTGGTGCAAGCGGTAGAGTACTACCGACTGTGACCGGAAGGTCCTAGGTTCGGGTCGCAGCCTCCTTGCATTTGCACATCGCAAGGGTAAGGCTTGCTGCTAATACCCTTCCCCATACCCCGTACAGTGCGGGATGCTCTCAGCACTGGGTACGTCTTTTTTTTTATTCGTCAGGCTCTGCTATAGTACTTAAGCGTGACTGGTTGTAGACAATCCGTTTAGATAAATCTGAATAGATATTACAGATATCTTGTAATTGGATCTAACAAACATGTATTATGTATGGATCCGTACTTAATTGGACGTACATACTTGGTGTGACGGATCTTAATGTGCATAGTTGATATAATATTTGTTTTAAATGTGACATACCTGATGGATCCAAACATGGGCCTTGTTTAGATGATGGTTGAGAATCAATATTTGACACTGTAGTACTTTCATTTGTATTTGATAATTATTGTCCAATCATGGCCTAACTAGGCTGAAAAGATTCGTTTCGTAATTTACAATCAAACTGTGTAATTAGTTATTTTTTTATCTACATTTAATACTCCATACATGTGTCCAAAGATTTGATGTGATGGAGAGAGAGTGAAAAAACTTGGAATCTAAACAAGGCCATGCATATGTTTTGAAACGTTTTTCTTTTGGAATGTGACACATTTACATTTGTAACATGCATACATGATTAAGATGTGACTCTTTCTTATCCCAATGGGATTATGTTTATAACTAATAGTTACTCCCTCCGTCCTAAATTAACTGTCGTTTTGGGTTTTCGTGCCGTAAGTTTGACTAGATTTGTAGAAAATACGTGCAACATTTGTATCTCCAAATAAATTTATTATGAAAATAGATTCAACGATCTATCTAATGATATTAATTATTTACTATAAATATTTATTTATATAAAATTAGTCAAAGTTATTTCTCGTGAAAGCGAAAACTGACATTTATTTTGAGACGGAGGGAGTTTCTATGAGTTGCATTGTACATATGTAACTTTTTCGAAACCAATGGGAACGTCCTCCGGTGACATAC